GCTCTCTGTTCCCCCCGCTGCATAGCCACTTGCACCCTCTCAAGATTCCCACCCCCAAGAAGAAAGGAAGCGGAGGTACTTATTGTCCCAGTCCAGAAAGCTCTGGAATGAAAGCAGCCAGTTTCTCCTTACAGACCAGTATCAGGGGAGGAAACTTGGGCCTGGCAGATCATGTCCTTCTTCATCTGATAAGAACTTGGCCAGGCCAGAGTGACTTCCCTCCAGGGGATGTGGAAAGGAGTGGGGCCGAGAGAAAGAGCTAGAACTGGGAGTCCGCTTGGGCAGGATTGGCTCACTGCGGGGGCCTCAGCGAGCCCTTCGCCTCGCTGGGCCTCACGCTCCTCTCCTGGAGCACAAGGGCCACCCCAATGACCGGCCTGTGTCAAGGATGACCTTGCAGCCTCGGCCCCTCCCTCTCTTCAAGATGTTTCTGGGCTGCCTTCCCCTCGGTCAATAAGTTTCTTGCTGTGTCATGATGATGTTGGCACCCCACCAAAGCCCTGGTGATTCACGAGCCCCAGGGTGGAGGAAGGAGGCCATTCGTTGGCTTTGCAGCCGAGCCTACCTCGGCGACCTCCAGCTCTGTCACTTCAGAGGCCGGGAGCCAGCTGGACCCCAGCCAGGGCCTAGGCTCCACCTTGGGAGACCTAGCAGGTCCTCGACCTGACTGACCCAATGGGGACAGGACGGCCCACTCCTGCGGCTGGCCGCTGGCCTGTGGCGCCTCTCGCATCGCCTTCTGCCCCAAAACCCTCACCGACGCGCGTCGGCAGTGGTTTCGCCTTATAAAACGAGGCTGAAGTCAGACCTGGGTGACAACAGGCAGGTGGTGGCCCAGGTTCCTTTGCCCCAGCCGGGCCACATACCGGTGCCTGGAGATCCTAATCAGACCCTGTTTCTCCAGTTAAGTCACTGTGTCCCCAGTCTCCGCTGTGGTCCTTGAACGAAATGAGGGGTCTGGGAAAGATTGCCGCATCTCACCAGGAGCCCCTGTACCTGCCCCGCCCCCACACAGCGTGCTCAGATTTGCTCAGGAGTCCAGCCCAGGCCGGCAGGGAGAACAGGCTGCCCCCAGGCCAAGGAGACCGGCTGCCGGGCCCCACACCCCCCGACTATCCTGGGTCTTACGTCACCTCTCCATTGGGCGACTTGGAGCCCAGCAGACCTCTGGTTGCAGGGACTGAGCTGAACAAGGCAAGCAGGTTCTATCACTAATTAATTCCCAAGGGAACGGGAAGAACAAACAGCTTGGACTGTGGGGCACTGTGACTCAGCAGACAGGAGATTGCTCCTTGCTACCGATCCATCGCTTACAGTCTGCCTCGGTTCCTCGCAGCCTGCTGGAGTTCGATGGGAAGCTAACGTTACCTGCCACAGGGAGGCTGAGAGCAGTTTGCAGGCCACAATTCTGGTGGTTTCTCCTGGGGGCTGCTA